GAAATTCCCAGGCACAGCTGCCTGCGTTAGGCACCCAGCTAGCAGCACTTCAGGAGAGCTCTGCAGAAGGTGAGAAGCTTCTGAGCAGTCCAGGTGTGGCAAAAAATGCCCTGCTCCCAGGGAAGGAGGGATGGCTGAGCGGGTAGAGTCTTCCAGAAGAAGGCACTGTGTGTGTGGTGTAGCCAGAGAGAAGGCACAGGGTGCAGGCAGGGAGGGACAGCAAGTCATTGCACTCCCACCTCACCCCTCCCTGCAGTTCCTTGCCAGTCCGGGGCTGTGCCACGAGGGGACATCTCTGCCTTGTGACTGACACAGCTCACGTGTGCTTTGCACCTTTTTCTTTTCTGCCCCTGGCTGGGCGGTGAGGCTGGGGCGGGGCCGTGGCTGCAGCCCCTGCTTCTCCCCCCACCCACCACCCCTTCTTTTCTTCCCCTCAGTGTGGCCGCAATGCTGAAAACTTCGACCGGTTTTTCACTCGCCATCCACCCGTCCTAACACCTCCTGACCAGGAAGTCATCAGGAACATTGACCAGTCAGAATTCGAAGGATTTTCCTTTTTTAACTCTGAGTTTTTTAAACCTGAAGCCAAGAGCTAAGTAGCTGTGTAGATCTCACTCCAGCATCTCTGTCATCCAGTCCCAACTGCTGCGGTGGTGACATTGTCCATTGCAAAACTTGCGTTCATGGTTTTTCTTTAGTCCAACTACTAGAGTGACCATATTTCAAAGACAGAAGTGTCTTCACATTACTTGGGGCGTGCCTGAAGGATGGGGTGATGGGCACTAAGTGCTGCCAATGTGCTGTTACGAGACTTTACTTGGAGAAAATGAAAACTCTTTGTTGGCTGACGGACAGCAGGTGGAGAGGTGTGAGCCATGACAATCAGGAGAAATCTCTTCAGCATGTGCTTCAGTTCCCACTCTTCTCTCCTCTTAGTCTTTTAGTATAATCACAACATTTTAATATTTAGCCCTCTTGGTGGCAAGTCAGTGTTTCTCACACAGCCTTGCCCGGGGCTAAGCTGGCACCCGCACAGTGGGGGCTGCAGACTGAGCCACACAACTCCCCCAAAGCTGAGCAGTTGCTCCAGAGAGCTGAGATGCCAATTCTGGCTCCTTCTCAGCTCTGTCCTGCCCAGGGATGCCACTACAGGAGCCCTCCCCACAGTGGACCCCTGCCTACATGGCTGTGGCAGGCACAGCTCTCTGCGCGGGGGAGAAGTGGCTGGGGAAGCCAGATCTGCTTGCAAAGATTTCTCCTGATTGTGCAGTTTCTAAGTAGCGTTTTGTAAATCAAAAGAAACGTATCCAGTTGTAAATGGGGAATTTGAAAGTGCTGTTGCAGGTGCTTTTGAATCCATGGTCACCCTAGTAAATGCCACAGAACATCGGTTCTCCTAGCAAAACCTTTTCTTTCTTTCTCAAATGCCAAAGCAGCTGATGAAGTTTGTTACCTGCGCTTTAAATGTGTCAAATAATGGTATTAACACCAATGGGATGCTGTTTAACTTTGAACAGTATTGTGAATCCTGATATGAAGCTTGTAAAGAAACTTGTTCCAACTAATAATCCTACTTTAAAAAAAATGCCGCTAGATATTTAAATGGCCTAAGTTTTGTTTCTGGCATCAAAGAAAACAAATCAGGAAGAATGAATTTCTCTCAAAACAATAACAATCATGCAGCTTCCTTTTATGCTGTTCTGCCGATGTTCGTGGGCTGTCCCTGTATCTGCTTTCAGTTGTAATGTGCCAATTTTATTTTATTTTTTTCCCAATACTGATTATAAAATAAAAAGTGAGAAATAATGTCAAAGAAACCTGCATGTGTTTGGCAATGATGAGTTTCTACAGCTCTGGGCCCAGAGGTGCCAGGAGTGCTGAGAGTTGGGGCTGCACCAGCTTGGAGATGTTCAGGAGAGCAAAGCAGGCAGCAGTGCAGGCAACAGCCCACACCAAGACGTAGCTGTGGCCTCTTCATCCTCTGCAGCATTTGCCCCCAGACCGAGGTAACAGGACCTTCCAGTGTGGAAGCAGCTGGAACCGTCTTCCCAGCAGGGAGCGAACACCAGCATCTCTCTGCATCAGCCTGTGCTGCTCCAGGGCGGACGAGGAAAGGAGCTTCTCTCCCACATCCCTTGGAGGATGGACAGTTCAGGGCGTCAGGGCGGTGTTCCGAGGCGAGCAGAGCCCCAGTGCCTGGGGATCTCCTCAAGCATCCTGCACGGGAAGGACTGCGGGATGCACTCCCCGTCTCTGGAGGCTGCAGGGGGAAGACGCCGCGTGTGCCGGTGACTCAGCGCCCTGCTGAAAGCAATGGGCAGTTTCAGCTACAGAAGGATCACACGTGCCTGTTGACCTCCCTTCTGAGCGCGTGCAGAATCTCCCTTCTCTGCTTGGAAATCGTTAGCTTTTTGCTGGAGAAGTTTTTTGCCTTGGATTGCCTCTGCCTTCCCCTCTCTCTGTTTACCAGGTGCACGTTCCCTGCCTGCTCCCAGGCTATTCGTCATCTTTGACAGAGGCCAAATTGCCACCAATTTCAGACAAAATCAAGGTAAGGAATCAGCAAACCCCCCTTGGCCACACTCCACCTGGAGCACCCCCAGTGCTGCCTTCTCCTGCCCAGCCCCAGAGGGGGGAGCTGCCGAAGGACGCTGTGCAGGGGTGGGTGGGCTTTCCTGAGCCCCTCCAGGCACGTTACAGCCTTTGCCAGAGCTTTCTGCAGCTGAAAAGCAGCAGGAGGTTTTGCTGATCAGGCTGAGCACTTGTCATCTCTGGTGCCATCTGCAGAGGCCACTCCAAAGGGCTGGGAACTGTGGTGGTAATTTACACCAGCAGAAAATGTGGACATTTCATTCCTCTTTGCAGCACCCT